ACAAAAGAGGGGGAGGCCTTCAATGAGATGGATTGATACGGTGGCTGCGATGATGGGCTCAAGTATAGCAGGGATTGTGGGGCTGGCGCGGGATCAGTCAGTGTTTCGTTCTGCTGTGCATGGGGTCACTATGAGTCGGAAACGACTCGAAGGCACTTAACAACAACAACAACTAGTGGTACAGTGGTTAAAGCATTTGGCTGCTAACCAAAAATTTGGTGGTTTGTACCTACCACCTGCTTCATGGGAGAAAAATGAGGCAGGCTGGTTCTGTAAATATTTCCAGCCTTGGAAATACTATAGGGCAGTTTTACTCTGTCCTATAAGGTCACTATGAGTCAGAATCAACTCAATGGCAGTGGGTTTTGGTTTTATTCAATTTATATATAAATTTTATTATTCGTGTGTTTTCTTAATTTGAAACAAAATCTGCTTCCCTATTATGCCATCATTATTGCATCCAGAGTTTCAGAAGTAAAAGAAAATCTATTAATGTTTCTATACATGGAAATGTTCCCTTTGAAAATGTCTATTAAGTATCTCTTAGAAGCTTTGCTTTTCAAGTTTAAGCATCTTGGTTTCTTGAGCTATTTATCAGATGACATTTTGTTTTCCCAAATGATTCACCAGTTCCTATTTGGATGGGAACTTACAAAATTTCTGTTTAAAGCGTCATTTCCAAGGTTAAAACCTGATATGAATCAGTCCTTGTTTCTTCTGTGTTGTGTTTTTCCTAGCTCTCCCATAGCTATGCCCCTTCATTTCCTTCTCTTCAGAATAATTTTCATTGTAGAGCCCAGACTCATCTGGGATAAAGCAGGAAGAATTTAGGCAACCTCAGTTCCTCCACTATGTGAGGCTTGACCCTTGTTATTGCATTGAACTATTACAAGAAGCACTAGATGTGACCACAGGACTTCTGGTCTAGGGCCTGTGTCTTACTTTCTGCGTATCATCCCTGGGACTCAACGTCTCAGTGTCACCTTGGGTTTTAAATGCCAATGCTCTCATTCTAGTATAGAAATCCTGTGTCTGATGCTCCTTGTGTTCATAGGACTGTATTTCTTCTTTACTGTCTGTTATGAGTTTTGTTTCTTTGTTTTCGTATCCATAATGCTTTTCTGTTTTTAGTTACACTCCTTTGGGATATGAGTCCTGCCCCAAACTGTGTCTGGGTAATTAAGGGTCCCAGCACACGTGATCAGAAATTGTAGATGCTATGTTCCTTTCTTTTTGGATTTCAGACAATTCACACACAAATTTCCTTCTAAATTTTTGATGGAATGTGCCCTTATTTATATACAAATGTGCCCTTATTTGTACAGATGTTATTATATTATTCATGGCATAGTGCCTTGTTCATCCAGCCATTATACCTCTGTCAACAAGTCCTAACCAACTTCTTCCTCAACTGCTTCCACGTTTGAATTAGTTGCCAGATACTAGTCAAATGTAACCTTTCTACCTCCTACCATGTTTTGCTGCAAGTATGGCTCTATGCCTCACTAACGAATTCTGAGGTGTATTGTATTCTAAATATGCACTAACCTATGAGTGTGTATAAACCAAACAGTGAGACTAATAGTCCCTTTGTGTAAATTAATACTATTAAACAGTATTTAATGAGAAAGGGTGAGCAATTAGTCATGACTACCACAGGAATAGGAAAGGAGATTGCTTCAAGATTGCCCTCTTTTGCTAATATTGACCTTGGAAACCAACTGAAATTTCCAGCTCTTTGTTATATGAAAGTCTGCTGAGTTATATTTGTGCAGTTAAATCTTGGAGCCAAAATTCAAGACTTTATATTTTCTATAGTTAAACTTGTTAGTTTAAGTCCATTGTTTCACCGTCTCTAAAACTTGATTCTGTTCTGCAGGGTACTCAAGAGTTACATCATCTACAGAGTTGAAAAAATACTTTTCATACCTTTATCTAAGTCACTGATAACAATGTTGAGCAGAACACATTCTTGTGAGAGCATAAAGGAACCAACACAACAACAACAACAACAAAACAGTAGCAGCTAACATGTATTGAGTAACTTTTATGAGCCAGGCACAATGCTAAACACCTCATATCTTTGTACAGCTTTTCTCATTTTTATCTTTACAACAAACCTATGCATTAGATGCTGTTATTAGCAATTACTACTATCTGTATTTCACAGGAAAAGAAACTGTGGCACAGAGAAGTTTAAGTGCATGGATGACATGGTCATCCAGTCAGTAAGTGAGAGTTCTTTCAATACCCTGGCATTGCAAAGCATCTGAGGCTGGAGAACCTCCAGTCTGGCACTTCCATTCTGCTAATTTCATCATTTTTTTCCTATCATTTCTGCAGTTTTCTGGATAGAGTGTACAGAAGTAAGATGAGGATGATTGCTTCTTTCTCTTTCATCTAATAATATCATATACCATGTGGCTTGAATCATTGTTTTTACCACTTCCTTAAAGGAGTCTTGGTAACACAGTGGTTATGCTCTCAGCTGCTAATCAAAAGGTTAATAACACCCAGTGGCTCCACCAGAGAAAGACCTGGTGATGTGCTTCCATAATGATTATTATTGCCTAGAAAACCTTACGGATTGGTTCTATTCTGTTACATGGTATCTCTGTGAGTTGAAATAGATCAACGGCACCTAACAACAATACAACAATAACTCTTCTGAAAATCATTATTTGTTATTCTTGCTCCAAAAATGGCCACAAAGCTCTTTTCCCTCCTCCTTAGCAATTCCGCATGTTTCATTCTGGGGTCTTAATCTTCCAGACATCATTCATTTGTGCCCCTTCAACACCATATATTTATATATATTATTTTTATCCATGTAAAATTCAATCTTATGATTAACTCTTTGAGTATCTTTTTGGTCTTTGAGATACCTCTCACCCTTTTCTTCCTCTCCTCCAAGAATGATCAATGATCCTGAGATGGAAATTTTGTTTTTAAAATGTTTCCATCTCTTTGGAACAACAGTTCTTTTAAGAGACTTTGGAGTTTCTCATAAACTCCTTGAAACTTCTTTGCTAAAATCTTTGATACAAGATCTATTTCTGACCCTTTCTTTTACTGTTAAAAACTGGAAGGTGAATTATTTATTTTCTCTCCAAGCTCCTGTGACTCTTGCATTTATAGTCCATTCTTCCTTCATTAATATTAAGAACAAAATGGAAACTTATTTTTGCTTTTACATTCAGAAGGATAAGTGAAGTAACTTACACAATATCTTAATATAAGAAAAATGTTTATAATGGTTTCATAAGAACATACTTTCAATTTATTGACAACTCTTTGGTCTTCTTTAGTGACTGCTTTCTGTATCTACTTTTCACCAAACAGTTTAATTGCTGTGGTTTGGTAAGTGGAGCTTCTGATTGGGGAAATAATTTCAAGAAATATTCCAAGTCATGTGAATGTCCAGTTACATCAACTTCGGCCTGTACAGTTTATGAAGGAATATCTGTTTACCAAACGGTAAGAACCAAATCAAATTAAGCAGTGCAAGTAATTCTGTTATTTTCTTTTCACAATGAAAGTCTCTACAAAAAATAAAATCACAGCAATAATAATGGGAAGCATGATATCAACATCACTCGAACTTCCCAAACAAATACTTATTTAAAGATATGCATATATATATATAATATTTCATTTCTTCTATGAACTGCAATCATTTATATTCAATTTTAATAGGTCAAAGAAATATTCTACTGCAAGGGGAGGCAAGTACAAATTAAGATAAGAGTGTCATTTCCCCTCTTTGGAGACCTCATTCACCATTTTCCTCATTTCTTCTATTTTATCCTAGGTTCTATGATAAATCAACATGTTTACTTTAATTTAAACATTAAAGTCTTTTTTCTAATTGAAGGTTTATTTCCTAACTAATTGTATAGGTATAAGGAAAAGGCACAGTGTTGCCTTTGTGGAACTTGTAGTCAAATAGGAAAGACGAAGAGATAATTGTTAGGCTACTTCAATCCAACAGGTGACTGGTATTGCAAGATAGGGGTCAGCACAATGTATTATATTAGCCCATCTAACTCAGTCTTCCTGGAGGACATGACACTTGTCCCTCACTGCATGATTTTACATAAGCTGTTCCCTCTGCCTAGGAGGAATGCATACAATCATGACAAGTGGTAGTAGTGGTTAATTTATTCTATGCTATTCTTGTGTCAGGCGGAGCCTCGCTAGAATCAGACATGCTTCTGGATCCCCAAGAAGAGTATAGTCTGGTTGGGAGATAGATACATAAAAGTTATTATAATTCACAATGAATTAATTGCTGTGATAGCTGAAAATTATTTTCAAACTAACATTTTTTGATTTAGTAATGGCTATTGAGGTTAATATATTAAAGGAAATAGAAAGTATTTCAAAGGAAATGTCCTTTGTACTGACCATTCATATCCCTGTTACTGATCTTATGAAAATTAGAGGTGCTCTATTCTAGAGAGGAGTTTCTGTCACTGATATTGAAAGTAACTCATGAGGGCAAAGTTATCTACTGGACTACAATTTTACCAAGTCTTTTTATTGCCCAAGTAATATCATTAAGAAATTTTTATCCTTATTCTTTACATCCTTGCAGCTTCCCTCCTCCCTAGCTAATTTTAGTGACATAATATCCACAAAGATGAGGGAAAACAAATGTGGTGTAACTGAATGTAGTTTCCAGTTAAGATGATGAGGAAATTAGTAAATTCAGTTGCAGATTGTTATTTGTCTTCTGTAAAAGATTCAAGGTAAAGATGTTTTCCCTTAAGATAGATTTTGAAAAGCACCTAACATTATTATAAAAAATAATAGATGTTCTCTCCACATTCACATATAATTCAACTGAAGGTAGACTGATAGCTGTACCAGTCACCCAACAGGAAGGCTATAAATTCATAAAATATTTCCATCTGTCTTGTGTCATTCGCAAGAAGTCTGGAAAAATACGATTCTAGAAGGGCCATAATTCACATTCTGCCTCCCTTCCTTTTTGCCAAGATAACCTGCTTATCGGGGGGAGTGGAGGGGCAAAAAAGCTTCAAATAGAATGAATGTTACTCAGTGGATATAATCATTAATCTCATAGTTAATCCTAAATGGCATTACAGTTTCTTCTAATTCACTTTGGATCAGATGTGAATGGAAAAATTACATCCAGGAATGAAGGGGCAAGGACTGTCTACTTCAGCCTTATGAAGAACTTTTTTTTCACCTAACAAATGGCAATGTTTTTTAGCCTTTTGCACATACGTGGTTATAATAAGGAGGGTATATATATTTTTGACAATACAGATAATGCCACTATTACATTGTGAAGCATATTTCCATTTTTTAATTATCCTTGTAATTTGTAATTACTAGAATTTTTAGTTCTATTCTGAAATGTTTTACAATGGAAAGTGCATCTTGATTTGAATAAATTTTTAAAAATGTGACAGAGAAGAAAATTACTAAATTTTATTTTCTATCTAAAATAAGGACTTAAAGAGTAGACATAATGATTTTTTTTCTTTTTAAGAATCATATGACACTGATAAATATTATTAATGGATTTTTTTTTAATAAAAAGCCTGTTTTAAAAATGGAAATTTGCCATAGTATTATGTAAAACATCAATCTGGGAACTCAATTCTTTGGGTTATAAATCTAGGAACAAAACGACAAGGAAATTTCAGCTCTAAAATGAATATCAGACATTAGAATAAACTGCTAACCAGAAGGCTGGCGGTTCAAACCCACCAGCCACTCCTCGGAAGGAAGGTTGGGCAATCCTACTTCCGTAGTGATACTGCCTCGGAAACCCAAGGAGGGGTCGCTATGAGTCAGGGCTGACTCGATGGCACATAACAACAACAACAACAACAGAATAAAATTATTATTTATATTTAAGGATCCTTAGATTCAGTGATTTGGAAGCTGAAGCAACATTTTTTAATGCATCAACAAACCACAATAGTTAAAATGTTTTTGAGAGAGGGAGATTGTAGAGAGAGCAATTAAATTCCATTTTTTGAGTATGTTCCTTGGTGACAATTTAGAAAGCCAATCAATTCAATAAAAATCTTAATTAAAATGATGTCAACATTTTCTTAAAAGTAACTTTTAATGTTCTTGTTTTTTAACAGCCATGTTATTCTTCCATAAAAGATATTTTTAAGAATTATACTATCATAATTATTGGAATAACATTTGGACTGACAGTTATTGAGGTACAGTATCATCTTGCTTTATTGATCTCTTTATCTATTCTCTTGTTTGTTCATTGGTTTCACTAATAGATATTTATGGTGAGCCAAATAAAATAACAAGAACTTTTGAAAATCACTGGGAATACTAAGTACCCAAAACCAGGAGTTTCTCTTATTTAGCACTAAGTCTGGGGAAGGGTCCACAGTTCTATTGATTGAGTAGAAACAAGGGTATTATTTTTGAGTGATTTCTCTACTGGGAAAAATACAGAATTAATTTTAATTTCCACACAGTTCTTATTCCAAAATATCCTTTCCTCACAAAACAGCGCAAGAGTTAAAGTTTCCTAAAGTTAGAAGAAAAATCACCAAACAAAAGCAAAACCCAATCTTATAATTTTGTACCTTTCTCACTGATTTTGAAACAGATAATAAAAACTGAAACTTGATGTAAGGAGCTGTTTTCCTGCTGTTACAGTCTAGTGAAATTTAACAAGTTCTAAAAACTAGAGATTTTCTAAAGACTTTTAATTTTCTCAGCATAAGGTCTGTGGGCTCATTTGCAGAAGTTTTCAAAGAGGCTCTGCTTCAGGTTAATTTTCTCATCAATTTGATTATTGATGTTGAAGAAGAAATATCCTGTCTAGGTTTTTTATCTTACGAATTTCCTTGGCATGACTCTTTTAGAACCTGAAGAGTACTTTTTATATGGCTTAAAAATCATTGCCAAGAGAATGAAATAAAATTGTTTCAGAGAAACATTGTTGATATCATCCCAGATCTTGGGTAATTTAGATACCAAGTGAGTTACATTCACTCAATCCTATTTCAGGGCTTTTACTACCTGCTAAATGAACTCTGGGAGCTCTGGTAGCATAGTGGCTAAAGCACTTGACTGCTAACCAGAAGGCTGGCGGTTCAAACCCACCAGCCACTCCTCGGAAGGAA